AAAATGTGGGAGCCTCGATTCGGCCTCCACGGTCTGTTACAGGGATAACATTACCCTACCTTACACACTTTAACTGAGCGAGATAGGAAAGAGGTAACCCATATTAGAAAGTCCTCAGTTTGAATCTCGGCCAAGAGACCGGTTATTTCGAGTTTTTTTTTTCGCGATTCTTCTCCGTCCCTCCAGACAAGTGCCAGGAGAGTACCTATATTAAGCCATGATCGCTTACTACCAAATTCTTCTGGCTTCATCAATCGTCATACCATTCGAAGGTCGTGCATTAACCCTCATACCTCCCGACGTAATATAAACCTTGGCACTGAACGGGAGTGGTCAGATTCAAGCCCCGGCCTCTTTAACCAGAAGGAAAGTGGCTGGTATCCATTCCACAGGAGGTCGTGTGGGGACTCAGGGCTCGTCAGTACGCTGTGGGCAACAGAAAGGTCTCTCGAGCTACTCGAAAGCGAACCCAAATTCGTCACGCGGTAGCGCAGTTCAATGAGGGACTATGCTACAAGCCGGAAGGTCGCAGGTTGGAGTCCTGACAAGGTCACTGGATTTCTTCAATTAACCTAATCCTTCCAGTCGCACTATGGACCTGGGGTCGACTCAACCTCAAACAGAAATGAGTAACAGGCATATNGCAAAATGTGGCAGCCTCGACCTCTCACAAACCTGTGAGCCTCCACGGCCTGTTACAGGGATAGCTTTACCTTTCTTTTATATTTTTAACCCATTTACAGGTAGTCTATATACCGACTGCGACATCCGGGTTCCAAAGATAACCGCTGGGCCCTTTCACAGCCACAATCAACAGTCAGAACTCTAGCTTTTGCTTCATGTCCTTCTCTACTGGACCACCTCTGTGGTCTCGTGGTCAGAGTTCCTGGCTACAGATCCAGAGGTCCCGGGTTCGATTCCCGGCGCTACCATATTTTCTGAGAAGTAGTGGGTATGGAACGGGGTCCACTCAGCCTCGTGAAGATAATTGAGGAGCTATTTCAAGGAAATAGCGGCTCCGGTCTAGAAAACCGAAATTAACGGTCATGAGGATTCGTTGCGCTGACCACGTGACAGCCTCTATCCGTTAAAGTTGGCACTAACTTCGCCGACAAGCGGCGCTCGCTCGGTCGGTATAGTTCGCTTGCGGACTAAAACCACGTTTTTTTTTGTTTTTTTGTTTTTTCCTTTCCTTCTCTGTTGATGGCCGTGATGACCACTCTGACTGGACGTGTGTGAACGAATTTGGTGTCAATCCAGACCTGGCCACAGCAGACGTGGGATGCGAACGAGCGCGTTGCGCAATGCCTGCCACTCCATCACCTGACATCATCAGGAGGCGAGCAGCTCTGCCGCAACGTTCAGGCGTCCTGCCTCAGTCCAGCACAGGCCTACAGAAAGACGCACCTTCCCTGTCAGTTGCCTGACCGCGGTATCACAAAAGGACCATGTAGTAGTTCAAATGGTCTTGCGACGAAGGGCGCGTGACAGTGGCGATGTTTCACTCGTCACATACAGAGAACTGAAAACCTATGTACTAGTCAGGGTTTGCCCAAAATATAAAGGTAAAAAGGGCGAAGTTGTCCCTGTGCTCAATTAAGTACTGTGCCATGATAACAGGTGGGGATTTGCGGTCTGAGAAAGTAGAACTAACTCTATAACAGGTCGCGGAGGTCCATAGGATTGTCAGACGTCGAGGCTCCCACATTTTCTAGACATTCGGCTCACAGATGGAGGTGAGGTTGTCAGCCTTACGCACCGGCCGCTCTTTACCCCCCAGGAAGTTTCCTGATACTCATTTCTGTCACAGGCTGAGTCGCCCCAGGGACATAATGCGGTTGGGAGGATGAGGACAATAGAAAATTCCAATAACCTCATTAGGAATCGAACCCACGACCTTCCGGTTTGTAGCACCGCCACCGCGTGCCCCCTGGATAGCTCCACGTATTCATAACCTCGGTGCCAGTTCGATCGTTAAAGCGGTGAGGATAAGGACTGAATGACTGAAGAATCGAGATTTGATTCCCGGAAGGGGCAAGATATTTTTCTTTCCTCCGCAGCGTCCAGTCCAGTTCGAATCGAAACCTTTTTCCAAGTGGATGAAGCACCCGGGACAAACGCTCACCAATCAACTCCACCTGAAGCAGAGATTATGAATGCACGAAGCTATACCTACATTCCCCCCATACTTCTTCATAGCGTGGCGCTTAATCACGCGCAGGGACAACTCAACTCTACTTCACCTTTACCTTATTCATAAAATAGGCGTACGTGTGGGCCCCACAGCCAGTCTGGACGGAGACAAAACTTTGTCGGTCTCAAATCGCCTTCTTCAAGGGCGTCCAATATTAAAATAAAATTTTATATTATTTTATATCATTTTAAATTCCTATAGAAATCATTTCAAATATACCACATTATAAAATATCACTAACATTAATACTAATACGATGCTGGAAACCAGCGATTTGTGTAAGTAATGGTTTTTACATCTTGTCTGGTGTAATGTAAACGTGTCGTATAAAAGAGACTGATCGTGTCTTGAAGCATTCCTGTGGCGGTTTGGATGTTCGTGCGCTGGTCACTTCAACAGATGAAACCCACCAATACTACCCGACACAACTCCAACACGCACAATACAAACAACATACCACCACCTAATGTAATGGGTTACATATTGCAGGCATAATACACTAAATCATACATACTATATGCAGCACACTCTTACACAATACAACACCATCACACAACCACAACAGCATCAGACAGTGATCATAATGACAGAATACACTGGAGACAACATTCGAAACCAGAACTAGCAGCATTTCACATTATCGACTAATACAAGAGCAACATACACGCTCACGAAGTGTGCATAACACAAGAGTGTTTCACAATGAACTCTCCTTCGAATCAGCTAATAATCTGATGAAGATAAAGTATACATTATTAAGAAAGCAGTCTTCTGGGATTTGGCACCGTGTATATGTGGTGTTAACCGACGTTTCGACTGTGCAGACAGTCTGCTTTTACCGGTTCTCACGGTCTCTTCGCTTGCAGATTTCTTATATTTTTTCTTCCACCCTGAAGATGGTGGCGATACGTTCATCCGAAACGTCGGTTAACACCACATATACACGGTGCCAAATCCCAGAAGACTGCTTTCTTCATAGTCACCGCCGTGAAAGCCTCAAATCTTACATATACATTATTAAGTTATATTTCAAACTACTTCCTACCCCCTCATACGTTTCTTAACTTTAAGAATTTTAGATAATTATACACTCAGCGTGAGGGATGTTACTGGTATTGGATCCCGTATCCAACAAATATTAATATATGAAATTATTTAATTTATTTAGTATCTGTAAAACAAATTCATTACACGTGATGATTGATGGTGATTGCAACATGTCGTGTTTTAAGAAATAAACGCTAATTTGTTGGTATTCACTCATGCGCCGCCTAGCATTTGTTACGCAGACGCTACAAGTGTCTTCGGCTCCGATACCTGTCCCGCAGTTCCGGGCATTCTCGTTCCCAGACTTCCTCAAACTATGTGCTTCCGTTGTGGAATGGGAAAGCACGTCTCACGCCCGTGTAACATGAACTCGGAGACATCAAGAGAGGAGTGGCCGCGCCATAGCTCAAGCGGTTAGTCGCTAGCTTCCCACCGCGGCGGCCCGGGTCTGGTCAAGTGGGATTTGTGGCGGACAAAGTGGCGCTGGGGCAGGTTTTCTCCGAGTACTTCGGTTTCCCCTGCCAATCTTCATTCCACCAATTGCTCCACAATCACCCTCACCTATCATCTGGGGCTGGTACAATAGGCCAGAAGTGGCCGCAGTACAAGGGACTTAGTCCCACCACACTAGCAATAAAAATAAAAAGAGAGGAAACATGACAATAAATCGAAAAGGAAAGGTTGCAGACAGGACAGTAAGACGAAATTGGGCTCAGAGCAAAGTTCCAAGCCATGAAGACGTATGGGAGAGTGGACATACGAATTCTTAACCGCGACACTGGATGGAGATGGGCGGTTAGCCTGGCGTCAAGACCGCTTTACCCTCGGGGAAGGAGCCCCCAGTACCTCTCAGAGCTGTCTAGACGTTGTGGGAAATAGAGAGATGCGCTGAACTTGACGGTCTGACACCGGTGACTACGGACAGTGAAGCCGTGTAATCCGGTAGGAGTCCACCGACGTTTCGGAGGAATATATCGCTTTCACCTTCAGGTTCGAATAATAAACCAGGAAGCTGCTTACTGCCTGCTTCATACTGGGTTCACTCTGTGACCCTAAAGGAGGGGACAGTACGTCCTTGCGAAACATCAGTGATCTACTGAACTACATGGCTTTACAACCTGGAATATCATATTTTTCAGAAGAACCTTTTGTACCTATCGGGATCGAACTCAATTTTCCAAAGTCGTATAGCCCTAGTCTAGTCACTATACTGACCGAGCTATCCGGCTCCTAGTGCTGACGACAGCGAAAAAGGAACAGCACATCTGAGGTAAATGAGAAGTTCACGAAACACTTCCGTCGCCTCAAGGGAAAACGTGCCGGAACTGGCTGTGAGAAGATCGGATTAAAATTAATCTGAGCAGAGAACGGGCATGTTAAGATTTCGACTGGACCTGACTGGCTCAATATAGGGCCTCTGATGAACACGGCGATGGACCTTGGGCCTTCATGAAGAGGGGGAAGGGGGTGGGGAGGGGTACTGTTCACCAGCTGAGTGTCAGGTTTTTAGAATCCGACTGCGGCCGACAAGAGTTCAGTGACATGTTTGTGGAAATCAGTACCAGGCCTGACGGCTAATGTGCAGGTCTCTCGCTGCCTCCAGCCAAGGCCGCATCTCAATACGCACGCTTCCTATCAAGCCGCGCCATAAATGGAAGTTGTCTTTAGAGCAGTACGATGGTTACACGGCGCGCGCTTCCCCTTTTAAGGCAGCTCTCGAAGCAGCCCTGCCCAAAGCGGGAAGGAAACGCGACGGACTAGCTCGCTAGCTCGCTCTGTGACTCATACGAGTCGGCCGGAGAGCTACGCACACACATGGTCAGTTCATGCTCCGGCTACGGTAGAGTCACGGAGACAGCAGGCGGGAAGGAAGACCCAGCGCGTGCTGGAGATGTTATTGTTGTTATGTGACTCCCACACGAGAGCGCTGCAGTAGGGGGGGGGCACTGTACAACAGGGTGACATTGCCGGACTCTGTGCAACTTTCAGTACGAGAGTGGACACGCAGACGCATGGAGCTGTGGGACAAACTCGAGTTTACTGTAAGTACAAATGAACTTTCTCTAACGCCATTTTTTCTCGAAAGCAAGTGTATTTTCCTTTTATATTTCAACGAAGACCTCTGCATACATTTTGTTGCTAACGATCTACAAATCATATGAGCAAACAAATAGGAGAACCGTACCCTGACATGAATATCAAATGATAGTAGTTTCTAAAAGATATGGCTCGTTCGTAACACCGAAAGCATTAATAATATTACATATTGATTATTTATTTAACGACGCTGTCGGTAGATGAGACTACATAGTGTCAAATGCTAGACTGAATTGGGAAAGATGCAGACGGAACTGGTTGTGGCCTAATTACAGAAACTATAAATGAATTCTTCTTAAGGGACTGAGGAAAACCATCAGAAATCCTCAGTCAGAATAGCCGGTATCCAGACCAAGATTTGACCTCGGGACCTACAGAATACATGGTTGATACCTACTCAGCTACAAAGTTTGGTAGATTTCATTTTATGCTGCTACTTGTATTCCGTAAGGACCTGCCGCACGCTTATGGTGTGGTCGGCAGTAACAAGCAAATGCACTCAATGTAGCCATGAATGAAGTCAGCACTGAACTAGGCTCGTGTACGTAGAGAACTACATAAACGCGTAATAAGTATATCTGGACCAGAAGTCATTACGGCGCCATTAAATTAACAGTATCATTAAGTCGCTACGACAGTAAGGTAACCTGCGTAATTACACTGCGCACCGAGCCCCGAATGATTTATGGCGATGGTGACAGTATTAAGATTTGAAAATTCCATACATGGACCGCCTCGTTAACTCCGAGGGTTTTTATTTCGTAAATAAACTGAACATGACAACTGAAGAGGCGCGCTTGCTGCAATAAGTAATGGGCTGGGTTCAAAACCAGTGGCCGGCGCCACCCAGAGTCGCTTCAACAATTTCTGATCGACATTGTGACAATTATTTGGCGGCCAGGCGAGGGGGGGGGGGGTTGTTTTCATGCTCAGACATCGCCTCAACTTGCAGTTAAGTGCAACATTTAGATACAGAATTTACACGCTCATTTCGTGGCAACTGGTTTTGTGACGCACGCTACCATGGCAAGCGATTATGGGTCGTACTGCTGTTTTTGAACTGCCCGCCGACTTCTGCATGCCTATCCTCAACAGGACTGGTTCGACATGCTTTGGAATTTTATTTCAAATTTCAAACAAAGGGAAACAAAAATTAGAATTGCCTATCTGAGATGTGTTTCTCTTGTTTTAACAAGAGTCCGGGTCGAGTTTCCCATTAAGCTGTCAGCACGTAGCTGTAACTCCACCATCAATAACTGCACAAATAACGCACCATCTGTTTCATTTAAAGGTGTGACGATGCTTTCTGACCCTCCTGTACGTTCAACAACCCCAAAGAATTGTGTCGGATGGCGGCAAGGCAAGAACACGAGCGCCCACGCCAGATGAACGACAAAATCGACACATGAAGATCGGGAAGGAAACGCAGGTGTCTGCAATCCCGCCAGAAGGACCACTTCAGCCATGACATACGTGTTGGGTAAGTGATGGGCAATTAAAAGTGCTCTAATCTCTTGGAATATGGGTAAAATGTAAACAGGTGTTAGGGGAGACAGGACGCGGGGAGTGGGGGGTGGGGTGGGGAGGCACAGTAATTGGCCCCTCTCGCCTGCCCACCCCCGCCGGCTATGGGGCCGTGCTGTTATGGCAGACATACTAACAGAAATAAAAAGGAAAAAAAAAAACCATAAAAGCTGAGTTGCTGCTACGGAGATGAAAACACGGGTG